TAAATGGTGAGAATGTATTATTTACTACAAGATCTTAATTATTCAAGACGACTGATGACATCGCGTTAATGTATAAAATACTACTCCATATGTCAAGTTTATTATTTAATATCCGTTGCAGGGTGCATTCATTGCCCAAATCAAGTCAATAAATATAGGTTGGTGATGTTTAGAGAGGTAAATGAAGGATTGCGAGGCTAATTAAGCAACTAGCAAGCTTGCAAGTTGACGAGCAATGGTTGGTGGTTGTGTTGCCAAATACCACCATTGCAGCAAGCCTCTCCCACCTTATCTCACGGGAAATTTGGGCGTTTTTAAGCTAAGGTACATTCAGCCAAGGGTTAGTTTTTTAGATAAATCGTCAGTGTTATATATTGGCTACATTTGAACGTCAACAAACGAATCTGACGTTAAATGGTCGTGAGGCAGTGAGGGCGATGATAAGTCATATCTGGCAACTGTTCCTTGCCTCCCTCCCGCCCTCCGTCGTGGGCGGCCCCGCCCACTCTTTCCTCCTCCCACCCACATTTAACGTCAAATTTGGGCGTTATTGCGCTATGGTACATTCAATCAAGAGTACATAAACCATCCCTGTTCATGCACTTGCTACATTTGAAAGGTTAAGTTTAGTTCATTTATTATGCACCCCATATCCATGCTGTGGGCGGTAGTGGGTTGCAGAGGCACATAATGGGTTCAGGGATTGAACCCCACAATTCATTTAGCTAAACAAGTTACAATCGATGAGTTAGTTACAAAATTCAGTATAAGTCGTCACACCAACAATGGGTTCGAGATCGACCACAAGTTCAGTTTCTGAATTAAGCAACTGACATGTGGAGAGCTAGTGTCACAATTGATGTTTCTCCTGCACACCGCCCCCCATCCAGTGGGCAGCGGTGGATAGGTTACACCGCCCCCCCCCCATCCAGTGGCAGCGGGGGGGTAGGTTATACCGCACCCCCCTTCCATCCCGTGGGCAGCGGTGGATAGGTTACAACCCCCCCCCCCCCATCGAGTGGGCAGCGGTGGATAGGTTACACCGCCCCCCATCCAGTGGGCAGCGGTGGATACGTTACACCACCCCCATCCCGTGGGCAGCGGTGGATAGGTTACACCGGCCCCCATCAAGTGGACAGTGGGGGGTAGGTTACACCGCCCCCCATCGAGTGGGCAGCGGTAGATAGGTTTTTAAGTGTGGGGCCTCACTTCCCCTGATCGTCCCTCACTTACCTGACACCTCAACTGTCCCGAGAACCTGAGTAGGTTAGGTGCGCCGGGGGCACCGTCCGAAGGTTTTATTGAGACGGGGCTATTACCTGGAGAAGTTGCATTTGCCAGACAGGTCCAGCATCTCGGAGCCCCGCGAGTGGCATGTCTACATAGGACTGGGTAGTTTAACCCGACGTCGCTGGAGTATGTGTTCCTGGACTGTCATCTGCCACTTGGGCGGGGGGGGGGGGGGAGTCCAGGGAGAACTGTGTAAGGGGGGGAACCTGTGGGCACTTCACCGTGAGGTTTAGGGAGCACTGTCATCACCGAGTATCAGGGGAGTGTAAAGTGTCAGGGGAGCTGTGTCGGGTGTGGATCGCCGGCGACGCTCGGTGTTTACACCTTAGTTGGGGGTCACTCCGTGTGGTGGCGTTCAGGTTCTCCTCCTGCGCCTCACCAGGCGGGGGTGCTGTAGATTTCTTTCGACTTGGGACCCTATCAGTACGTGGGTTCTAATGAACGTGGGTTCTAATGCTGGAGGAACCCAGGAGAAGATGGGTCCAGTATCCCTAACTTGGTGTGGCATTTCTGCGAAAACTTCTGCTTGGTTGTTCACAGCTCGTTAGAGTTAAGGGGAATGGCATCGTTACACACACTCGCCTCTCATTAGATGGGGGAGGCTAGCAGGAAAACTGTTTCGCCTACGACTGACAGCCTTGGACGAGATCCCCACAAAGGCAACAAACTATGCCTATTGTCCCAGTAACAGTATTTGTTCCAGTTAGAGAATAATTTCTCTAGGTCCCTCAGCACTGATGTCTAGCCCCCACGAGACGGCTACCGGAAGACGAGATCACCTGAGACCCGAGATGACGGACTGAGGCCCATCTCACCTGACCCCCGTGCACCTGGTCCTCCGGATGAAACTGCCTAAACAAGTTAGGCACCCGGAGAATTGCAGAGGGCACCCAGCAACAACGGTCTCTCATACCTAAATAACATTTTTCTGCAGATATCCTGTGGCCTGTGGGTGCTTGTTTAGACCTGTGGGTGCTTGTTTAGACCAGCGGGTGCTTGTTTAGACCTGTGGGTGCTTGTTTAGACCTCTGGGTGCTTGTTTAGACCTCTGGGTGCTTGTTTAGACCAGTGGGGTGCTTGTTCAGACATGTGGGTGCTTGTTTAGAAAAATGGGTGCTTGTTCAGATCTGTGGGTGCTTGTTCAGACCTGTGGGTGCTTGTTCAGACCTGTGGGTGCTTGTTCAGACCAGTGGGTGCTTGTTCAGACCAATGGGTGCTTGTTCAGACCAATGGGTGCTTGTTCAGACCAGTGGGTGCTTGTTCAGACCAGTGGGTGCTTGTTCAGACCAGTGGGTGCTTGTTCAGACCAGTGGGTGCTTGTTCAGACCAGTGGGTGCTTGTTCAGACCAGTGGGTGCTTGTTCAGACCAGTGGGTGCTTGTTCAGACCAGTGGGTGCTTGTTCAGACCAGTGGGTGCTTGTTCAGACCAGTGGGTGCTTGTTCAGACCAGTGGGGTGCTTGTTCAGACCAGTGGGTGCTTGTTTAGACCTGTGGGTGCTTGTTTAGACCTGTGGGTGCTTGTTTAAACATATGTAAACAAGCACCCACAGGTCTGAACAAGCACCCACAGGTCTGAACAAGCACCCACTGATCTGAACAAGCACCCACAGGTCTGAACAAGCACCCACAGGTCTGAACAAGCACCCACAGGTCTGAACAAGCACCCACAGGTCTGAACAAGCACCCACAGGTCTAAACAAGCACCCACAGGTCTAAACAAGCACCCACAGGTCTAAACAAGCACCCACAGGTCTAAACAAGCACCCACAGGTCTAAACAAGCACCCACAGGTCTAAACAAGCACCCACAGGTCTGAACAAGCACCCACAGGTCTGAACAAGCACCCACAGGTCTGAACAAGCACCCACAGGTCTGAACAAGCACCCACAGGTCTGAACAAGCACCCACAGGTCTGAACAAGCACCCACAGGTCTGAACAAGCACCCACAGGTCTGAACAAGCACCCACAGGACTGAACAAGCACCCACAGGTCTGAACAAGCACCCACAGGTCTGAACAAGCACCCACAGGTCTGAACAAGCACCCACAGGTCTAAACAAGCACCCACAGGTCTAAACAAGCACCCACAGGTCTAAACAAGCACCCACAGGTCTAAACAAGCACCCACAGGTCTAAACAAGCACCCACAGGTCTAAACAAGCACCCACAGGTCTAAACAAGCACCCACAGGTCTAAACAAGCACCCACAGGTCTAAACAAGCACCCACAGGTCTACACGAGCACCCACAGGTCTAAACGAGCACCCACAGGTCTAAACAAGTACCCACAGGTCTAAACAAGCACCCACAGGTCTGAACAAGCACCCACAGGTCTAAACAAGCACCCACAGGTCTGAACAAGCACCCACAGGTCTGAACAAGCACCCACAGGTCTGAACAAGCACCCACAGGTCTGAACAAGCACCCACAGGTCTGAACAAGCACCCACAGGTCTGAGCACAAGCACCCACAGGTCTGAACAAGCACCCACAGGCACCCACTGAACAAGCACCCACAGGACTGAACAAGCACCCACAGGTCTGAACAAGCACCCACAGGCACCCACTGGTCTGGACAAGCACCCACTGGTCTGAACAAGCACCCACCCAGGTCTGAACAAGCACCCACAGGACTGGTCTGAACAAGCACCCACAGGACTGAACAAGCACCCCCACAAGGTCTGAACAAGCACCCACAGGTCTAAACAAGCACCCACACTGGTCTGGACAAGCACCCACTGGTCTAAACAAGCACACCCACTGGTCTGAACAAGCACCCACAGGTCTAAACAAGCACCCAGGTCTAAACAAGCACCCACTGGTCTGGTAAACAAGCACCCACTGGTCTAAACAAGCAGGTCTAAACAAGCACCCACACGTCTAAACCACCCACTGGTCTGAACAAACACCTAAACAAGCACCCAGGTCTGAACAAGCACCCACAGACCTACAGGTCTGAACAAGCACCCACACCAAACAGGTCTGAACAAGCACCTACAGGTCTGAACAAGCACCCACTTTTCTAAACAAGCACCCACAGGTCTGAGCAAACACCCACAGGTCTGAACAAGCACCCACTTTTCTAAACAAGCACCCACAGGTCTGAACAAGCACCATTCCAATCCTTTCCGGATTGGAATGGGCGGGTTGGACACTCACTACCACACACCTGTATTGACCATTAATTAAGCATTTCGTTAGTCGTTCGTTAACTCTCCAAATGTTTATCAATTACATGCTACCAGCATAATACTCAAAATGTACTCAAAAGAGTTTAGATAATTAAATCATGGCCAGAAACAAGGAAGATTATTAATTATTACAATAAGCTGAACATTCTCATATGACAGAAAATAACATTCATTTGGGGAAATGATAGAGGCAATGATACCTTCAGATCACAACTTAAATGAGTTTATTTAACAAGTAAATTAAACCAAGGTACATCCTATCAGCTAGAATCTCAGTCACTGGCAATAATTAACTAAATAAATAATTAACAGTTATGAACTGAATAATGGGTCAATAGACACTTCACCAGAGCAGATACACGAAGCACTGGTAAAGAGCTTCACCAGACATTCTTGAGAATATCCCAACTTTCTCTCTGCTCTATTAATGGGGGAAATTACGACTGACAGCTTTGGTACACCACCCACGTACAGTGTGGGTCAGGAACCACCCACGTACAGTGTGGGTCGTGAACCACCCATGTGAACCACCCACGTACAGTGTGGGTCGTGAACCACCCACGTACAGTGTGGGTCGTGAACCACCCACGTACAGTGTGGGTCGTGAACCACCCATGTACAGTGTGGGTCGTGAACCACCCATGTACAGTGTGGGTCGTGAACCACCCATGTACAGTGTGAGTCGTGAACCACCCATGTACAGTGTGGGTCGTGAACCACCTATGTACAGTGTGGGTCGTGAACCACCCATGTACAGTGTGGGTCGTGAACCACCCATGTACAGTGAGTCGTGAACCACCCATGTACAGTGTGGGTCGTGAACCACCCATGTACAGTGTGGGTCGTGAACCACCTATGTACAGTGTGGGTCGTGAACCACCCATGTACAGTGTGGGTCGTGAACCACCCATGTACCGTGTGGCTCATAACCTTGGACATCACAGCAATTCTGGGTAACATTACCATTTTCTAATTGAATATACCTAAGAGAATGAGCCTTGTGAGAGGGAGGAGGGCTACAGAATCAAGATTCTCTTCAAATATATAATAGGGACTAGAATTAAGAAGTAAAATCTCGAGGATAGAAGAAAAACACTCATGATCGCCAGAACAACACACTCTCACGCTCGCCAGATCAGCAAACACTCACGATCGCCAAATCAGCTAACTTTCCAGATGGCCAGAATAACACTCTGACGAACTCTTTGGACAGCTAGCTCTCACCAACGACGGAGTAACTCACTATACAAGTTATAACTTGGCCTCTTTCAAGATGAATAAACACAAAAATGTCAAATATACTGCATGTAAGCAATGTTGGTGGGTTGAGCTTTACTTAAAGTTAGGCGGCCTGAGATTTCTAGTCGATATAAAGGTATTTAGTCGAAGTCGAGTTTCTTAAAGGATCCGTCAACCTCTCCGAAGATGTTGGACGCCGTCTTTGGCTTGCCTGGACGTCTGGCCTCATCAGCGCAGTGTTTCTCGTCCTCCAGGAACCAAGCACGGTGATCGTCCATCTTCTGCAGCCAGTATGCTAGCAGGGAGTGAGGGAGGTATGGGCGGCATTAGTACAACTTCTGCTGGGGTGGAACTGAGTAGAGAACAGTTATACGGTCTGCTCTCAGAAGGGAAGGGACCACATTAGCATGTATAATAACAAACAATAATTAAGGCAGCGACAAAAAGAGACAACAATAAATGATAAGAACATAAGAACAAAGGCAACTGCAGAAGGCCTATTGGCCCATACGAGGCAGCTCCTATTTATAACCACCCAATCCCACTCATATACTTGTTCAACCCGCGCTTGAAACAATTGAGGGACCCCACCTCCAGCACGCTACGCGGTAATTGGTTCCACAAATCAACAACCCTGTTACTGAACCAGTGTTTACCCAAGTCTTTCCTAAATCTAAACTTATCCAATTTATACCCATTGTTTCGTATTCTGTCTTGTGTTGATACTTTTAATACCCTATTAATATCCCCTTTGTTATGTCCATTCACCCACTTGTAAACCTCTATCATGTCACCCCTAACTCTTCGCCTTTCCAGTGAATGCAACTTAAGCTTTGTTAATCTTTCTTCATACGAAAGATTTCTAATTTGAGGAATTAACTTAGTCATCCTACGCTGGACACGTTCAAGTGAATTTATATCCATTCTATAATATGGCGACCAAAACTGAACTGCATAATCTAAATGGGGCCTAACTAGAGCAAGATATAGCTTGAGAACCACACCAGGTGTCTTGTTACTAACGCTGCGATTAATAAATCCAAGTGTCCGATTTGCCTTATTACGAACATTTATGCATTGATCCTTTTGTTTTAAATTCTTACTAATTTTGGAGCGAGACATGAACCCAGCGATAGGTGACTTAAATGGGGATTTCGATGTGGATTCAATATATAACTTATTTAAGAATATTCTAAACAAAGCACAGGAACGTAGTATACCATACAAATTGAATAGATCGAATACTAATGACCCAAAGTGGATAACAAAGAATTTGAAGAACCTTATAGGTAAAAAGAGAGCTTGGTACAAAAGAATTAAAAATGGGGAGGTCACTTTAGAACAGGAATTCGTACAACTGGTTAGAAATGTTAAAAAAGAGATAAGGAAAGCAAAAAGAAACTATGAAGTTCGCATAGCAGGGCAAGCAAAGACAAATCCTAAAGGTTTTTTCAGTTATATCGTACTAAGACTAGGGAAAGGATAGGTCCATTAAAAACTGAGACAGGTCAAATAACAGATAGTGATGAAGAGATGAGTAGTATTTTTAATAAATATTTTGTATCTGTATTTACTAAAGAGGAACTTAACAATATGCCTTCAGCCGAACAAGTCTATGTGGGTGGGGACGAGGACAGGTTGACGAGTTTAGCAGTTACCAGGGAGGATGTTCTTAAACAAATAGTAAAACTCAAACCAAACAAATCCCCAGGGCCGGATGAAGTGTTTGCCAGGGTGCTTAAAGAATGCAAAGAGGAGCTTTGTGACCCACTGTCAACCATATTTAATAAATCAATAGAGTCAGGCAGAGTGCCAGAGTTTTGGAAAGTTGCTAATGTGATACCAGTTTTTAAGAAAGGAGATAGATCACTTGCGTCTAACTATCGACCAATTAGCCTAACGTCTATTGTGGGAAAGTTACTCGAATCTATAATAGCAAATAAAATTCGTCTTCATCTTGAAAAACATAAATTAATAATTGAGTCGCAACATGGTTTTATAAATGGCCGTTCATGTTTAACAAATTTGTTATCTTTTTATTCTAGCATTGTTGAGGCAGTTGATAGTGGTAAGGATTGCGATGTTGTATACCTTGACTTTAGCAAAGCTTTTGATACAGTGCCACATGAAAGACTGATTAAAAAGATAGAGTCTCATGGTATTGGGGGTGCTATATTAAGCTGGATTAGGGCATGGCTATACCAAAGGAAACAGAGTTAGTATAAATGGAATCAAGTCAGAGTGGGAAAATGTTGTAAGTGGAGTGCCTCAGGCTCTGTCCTGGGACCTCTGTTGTTTATAATAAGAACATAAGAACAAAGGTAACTGCAGAAGGCCTATTGGCCCATACGAGGCAGCTCCTATTCTATAACCACCCAATCCCACTCATATACTTGTCCAACCCGTGCTTGAAACAATCGAGGGACCCCACCTCCACAATGTTACGCGGCAATTGGTTCCACAAATCAACAACCCTGTTACTGAACCAGTATTTACCCAAGTCTTTCCTAAATCTAAACTTATCCAATTATACCCATTGTTTCGTGTTCTGTCCTGTGTTGATACTTTTAATACCCTATTAATATCCCCCCGGTTATGTCCATTCATCCACTTGTAAACCTCTATCATGTCACCCCTAACTCTTCGCCTTTCCAGTGAATGCAACTTAAGCTTTGTTAATCTTTCTTCATATGAAAGATTTCTAATTTGGGAATTAACTTAGTCATCCTACGCTGGACACGTTCAAGTGAATTTATATCCATTCTATAATATGGCGACCAAAACTGAACTGCATAATCTAAATGGGGCCTAACTAGAGCAAGATATAGCTTGAGAACCACACCAGGTGTCTTGTTACTAACGCTGCGATTAATAAATCCAAGTGTCCGATTTGCCTTATTACGAACATTTATGCATTGATCCTTTTGTTTTAAATTCTTACTAATCATAACTCCCAGATCCCTTTCGCAATGCTGATTAATGCTGATTAGATTTAATGCTGATTAATCAGCATTAATGATTTAATGCTGATTAGTAGAGTTAGTATAAATGGAATAAAGTCAGAGTGGGAAAATGTTGTAAGTGGAGTGCCTCAAGGCTCTGTAATGGGACCTCTGTTGTTTATAATATATATAAATGATTTAGATTCAGGTTTGAGTAGCAACATTTGCAAATTTGCCGATGATACGAAAATCGGTAGGGAAATTAATTCGGAGGAGGACTCACTATCACTTCAAGTTGATCTAGATAGGGTTTTGAAATGGTCAAAGGATTGGCAGATGCAGTTTAATGCTGATAAATGTAAAGTTCTGAGGTTAGGTAATGATGATAGAGTTACAAGATACGAGCTAGATGGTGTTGTGATTGCGAAGTCGGATTGCGAAAGGGATCTGGGAGTTATGATTAGTAAGAATTTAAAACAAAAGGATCAATGCATAAATGTTCGTAATAAGGCAAATCGGACACTTGGATTTATTAATCGCAGCGTTAGTAACAAGACACCTGGTGTGGTTCTCAAGCTATATCTTGCTCTAGTTAGGCCCCATTTAGATTATGCAGTTCAGTTTTGGTCGCCATATTATAGAATGGATATAAATTCACTTGAACGTGTCCAGCGTAGGATGACTAAGTTAATTCCCCAAATTAGAAATCTTTCATATGAAGAAAGATTAACAAAGCTTAAGTTGCATTCACTGGAAAGGCGAAGAGTTAGGGGTGACATGATAGAGGTTTACAAGTGGATGAATGGACATAACGGGGGGATATTGGTAGGGTATTAAAAGTATCAACACAGGACAGAACACGAAACAATGGGTATAAATTGGATAAGTTTAGATTTAGGAAAGACTTGGGTAAATACTGGTTCAGTAACAGGGTTGTTGATTTGTGGAACCAATTGCCGCGTAACATTGTGGAGGTGGGGTCCCTCGATTGTTTCAAGCACGGGTTGGACAAGTATATGAGTGGGATTGGGTGGTTATAGAATAGGAGCTGCCTCGTATGGGCCAATAGGCCTTCTGCAGTTACCTTTGTTCTTATGTTCTTATGTTCTTTTTTGTTTTAAATTCTTACTAATCATAACTCCCAGATCCCTTTCGCAATCCGACTTCGCAGTCTCAACACCATCTAGCTCGTATCTTGTAACCCTATCATCATTACCTAACCTCAGAACTTTACATTTATCAGCATTAAACTGCATCTGCCAATACTTCGACCATTTCAAAACCCTATCTAGATCAACTTGAAGTGATAGTGAGTCCTCCTCCGAATTAATTTCCCTACCGATTTTCGTATCATCGGCAAATTTGCAAATGTTGCTACTCAAACCTGAATCTAAATCATTTATATATATTATAAACAACAGAGGTCCCAGGACAGAGCCCTGAGGCACCCCACTTACAACATTTTCCCACTCTGACTTGACTCTATTTATACTAACTCTGTTTCCTTTGGTATAGCCATGCCCTAATCCAGCTTAATATAGCACCCCCAATACCATGAGACTATCTTTTTAATCAGTCTTTCATGTGGGACTGTATCAAAAGCTTTGCTAAAGTCAAGGTATACAACATCGCAATCCTTACCATTCTGTCTAAATTTGGTGGCCTATATATAACTCCTATTATAATATTATTTGCTTTTTCGTATAATTCTATCCAAATAGTTTCTGTGTGTGGCTCAGTTTTGATTCCCTCTTTGAGACTACATTTCAAATTGTCCCTAACATATATGGCTACTCCCCCTCCTCGTCTAATATATCTATCTGTGTGAAATAGTTTAAATCCATTTATTTGATATTCAGCTAATAGTTCTCTATTTTCTACATTCATCCACGTTTCGGTAAGTGCAATAATATCTATTTTTTCTGTGCAGACAAGAGCATTTAATTCGTTAATTTTATTTCTTAGACTTCTACTGTTAGTGTAATATACCCTAAGTGAATTGTTATTTTGAGGCCCTTCTCTTTCCCTGATCATTTTGCCGATTCCTTTCACCCACAAACACATACTTTTATTACCTCCTTCCTCCAAATCAATTCCCATACCTCTATCTACTAACAGTTTAAACCCAAACAAACACCTCTAACCACTTCTTCCAACGAGTTCGCAACAGCAACAACCCCAGCTCTCGATAGATGCACACCATCACGAGCATACATTTCATTTCTTCCATAGAAGTGTTCCCAGTTGTCTATGAAAGATATTGCATTTGATTTGCAATATCTTTCCAGCCGGCAATTGACACAAATATAAAACCATGTTGCGACACAATTATTAATTTATGTTTTTCAAGATGAAGACGAATTTTATTTGCAATTATCGATCCAAGTAACTTTCCCACAGATACACCATCTAGCTCGTATCTTGTAACTTTATCATCATTACCTAGCCTCAGAACTTTACATTTATCTGCATTAAACTGCATCTGCCAAGCAAATAGCTTGGCAAAAGGGATAGCAAACCCTTAACCTGTTCCTCCTATCTCTGGCACAAGACGTCCTGTCTAAATACCTCACCTGGGAATCTCCCACAACCAAAATTCGCTTAGGTGCCTCCTTAACTTTTTAAGCACTTTGAGAAGCCTGTGCTTCGTTGATTTCCTTTTCGAGTGAACTGTAGGCTCACCACAGCACTCGTCTTCCATCACGGCAAATGAATTTGAAGTCCTTAGGGCATCTGTAGGCGACCTTGTCAAGGTCTTCTTAATTACGTCCACGACGAGGTCTTATTAATATTGGTCTCCTTTGTTTCTTCTCGATGCTACAGCTGTCGTACCTCCTCCCGTAGGGAATCCATCTCTGCTCTCAGAGTTCCAACTAGATTCATCAATTCCTTCACTAATCCTTCCATTATTGCTTTAATAATGTTACTACAATCGGAGCTCCAGCTAACACAACCTTTCACTGACTGCACCTGACTGACTCGATTAAATATGGTAGATTAACTATGATTAAATATTATTAAATATGGTAGACAATGGCTCGCAAAGCTCCTCTTTGCATTCTTTAAGCACCCTGGCAAACACATCCGGCCCCGGGCATTTGTTTGGTTTGAGTTTTACTTTTTGTTTAATTACATCCTCCCTAGTAACTGCTAAACTAGTTAACCTGTCCTCGTCCCCACCCACATAGACTTGTTCGACTGAAAGCATATTGTTATGTTCCTCTTTAGTAAATACAGAGACAAAATATTTATTAAAAATACTACTCATCTCTGTCATTATCCATTAGCTTACCTGTCTCAGTTTTTAATGGACCTATCCTTTCCCTATTCTTTGCTCGATATAACTGAAAAAATTTTAGGATTTGTCTTTGCTTGCCCCTGCTATGCGAACTTCATAATTTCTTTTTGCCCTCATCTCTCTTTTAACATTTCTAACCAGTTGTACGAATTCCTGTTCTAAACTGACTTAACCATTCTTAATCTTTTGGTACCACGCTCTCTTTTTACCAATAAGGTTCTTCAGATTTTGTTATCCCTCACCAAAGTTACAGCCCTGCTCCTGTGTCAGGTAAGTCCACTACGGGCTCACCATAGCCCGTGCTACTTGGAACTTTTTGTTCCCAGTAGCTGAATCTTAAACAACAACAACCTTTGTTATCCACTTGTTAAGACAATGTTACTCACCAGCGATCTCGGCCACCGACCCGCCTGTCCCTCCGTACTCTGTGGGCAACATCGCCTGGGGTACGTACTTGTGTATGCCCGCCACCTTGTTCCCGTGCACATGTACCTGCAGGTATAAGGTTTACATGGAATTACACACCTTGGCTGATCCCTGCTTTGACGACCACACCACACGCCAGAAAATGAAGAAACGACGACGTTTCGGCCCGTCGACTATCGACTTCATAATGGTCCAGGACACACCGAAACGTCGTCGTCTCTTCATCTTCTGTTGGTTTGGTCATCATATTTTCAGCCACGTTATTGTGACTCATCGTCTGCATAACTACTGCAATGTAAACAAACTATGAATAATTATTTACATCTTGTTCAGGACAAAGACGGAGCCCGCAATCACTAGTTGGGGTCAATATAACACCTAATCCCCCCCCTCCCCCCCCCCCACAAAATGTCATAAATATCAGTTTTACGAGCGTTTACTGTACCATTCGATGTACCACATCAAAAGTTGAAATATTTTGACACAGAATTAAAAAAATGTAATGTTCACCTTGTTTGCATTCACATTTTAACGTGAACATTCATGATACAGTTATGCCTGGCCGAACCTCAAAGCCACCAAACTTGTTTTATTTTTATTATTTTTTATTTTTTTATTATTTTTCTACCTCAAACGTGGCCACACATTTACAATGCTAACAAACATAAGAATATAAGAACAAAGGTAACTGCTAGTAGATAGTGGTTTGGGAATTGATCTGGAGGAAGGAAGTAATAAAAGTATGTGTTTGTGGGAGAAAAGAATTGGCAAAATGATCAGGGAAAGAGAAGGGCCTCAAAATAACAATTCACTTAGGGTATATTACACTAACACTAGAAGTCTAAGAAATAAAATAAGCATAAGAACATAAAAACATAAAAACAAAGGCAACTGCAGAAGGCCTATTGGCCCATACGAGGCAGCTCCTATCTATAACCACCCAATCCCACTCGTATACATGTCCAACTCACGCTTGAAACAATCGAGGGATCCCACCTCCACCACATTACGCGGTAATTGGTTCCACAAATCAACAACCCTGTTACCGAACCAGTATTTACCCAAGTCTTTCGTAAAAGAGTGAGGAGGGAAGCAGAGAGACAGTTTGAAAATGACATCGCGAGTAAAGCCAAGACCCAACCAAAGCTGCTCCACAGCCACATCAAGAGGAAAACAGCAGTGAAGGAACAAGTGATGAAGCTGCGAAAAGGGGAGAACAGAGAATGACAAGGTGTGAAGAACTCGACAAGAGATTCCAGGAGGTCTTCACAATAGAACAAGGAGAAGCCCCTGCACTAAATGAGGAGGCGGCAAACCAAGCAACCTTGGAGGAATTTGACCTCACCAGTGATGAGGTCAAAAGGTATCTGCTGGAGCTGGATGTGACAAAGGCTGTTGAGCCTGACAATCTCACCATGGATAATAAAGGAAGGTGCAGAAGCACCAAGTGTGCCACTCTCTATGGTGTATAACAGGTCACTGGAAACAGGAGACTTACCAGAAAGTTGGAAGACAGCTAACGTGGTCCCAATATACAAGAAGGGTGACAGGCAAGAGGCACTGAACTACAGGCCAGTTTCCTTAACTTGTATACCATGCAAGGTGATGGAGAAGATCGTGAGGAAAAGGCTCGTAGAGCACCTGGAGGGAAATAACTTTGTAACGCACCACCAACATGGGTTCAGGAATGGTAAATCGTGCCTCACAGGTTTAATAGAATTTTATGACCAGGCAACAAAAATTAGGCAGGAAAGAGAAGGGTGAGCCGACTGCATTTTCCTGGACTGTCAAAAATCCTTTGACACAGTACCCCATAAAAGGCTGTTAAAAAAGTTGGAGCAACAGGCAGGAGTAAAAGGGAAGGTGCTCCAGTGGATAAGGGAGTACTTAAGCAACAAGAAACAGCGAGTAACGGTGAGGGGGGAGACATCAGAGTGGCGAGATGTCACCAGCGGAGTCCCACAGGGCTCAGTACTTGGACCCATCCTGTTTCTAATATATGTAAACGATCTTCCGGAGGGTATAGACTAACTAATTCCTCTCAATGTTTGCTGAAGATGCAAAAATTATGAGAAGAATCAAGACGGATGAAGATAGACAGAGACTACAGGATGACCTGGATAAACTGGAGGAATGGTCTAGAAAATGGCTGCTAAAGTTCAACTCAGGAAAGTGTAAGGTGATGAAATTAGGCAAAGGGAGCAGGAGGCTGAACACAAGGTATCATTTGGGAGGTGAAATCCTGCAGGAGTCAAATAGAGAGAAAGATTTGGGGGTTGATATCACACCGAACCTCTCCCCAGAGGCCCATATCAAAAGAATATCATCAGCGGCATATGCTAGACTGGCTAACATAAGAACTGCCTTTAGAAACTTGTGTAAGGAATCTTTCAGAACCCTGTATACCACTTATGTAAGATCAATCCTGGAGTATGCAGCTCCAGCCTGGAGTCCATACCTAGTTAAACACAAGACAAAGTTAGAGAAGATTCAGCGGTATGCCACCAGGCTCGTCCCGGAACTGAGAGGAATGAGCTGCGAGGAAAGGCTAAAAGAGCTGAACCTCACATCCCTGGAAAACAGAAAAGTAAGGGGAGACATGATAACCACCTACAAAATTCTCAGGAGAATTGACAGGGTGGACAAAGACAAACTCTTCAGCACGGATGTGACACGAACAAGGGGACACAGGTGGAAACTTAGTACCCAGATGAGCCACAGAGACGTTAGAAGGATTTTTTTCAGTGTCAGAGTAGTTAATAAATGGAATGCACTAAGAAGTGATGTGGTGGAGGCTGACTCCATACACAGTTTCAAATGTAGATATGATAGAGCCCAGTAGGCTCAGGAATCTGTACACCAGTTGATTGACAGTTGAAAGGCGGGACCAAAGAGCCAAAGCTCAACCCCCGCAAGCACAATTAGGTGAGCACAATTAGGTGAGTACACACTGTGACGCCCAGAGAGCCTGGGTACACGTACTCACGCTGACCTACACCGAGCGGGAGAGCCCAGAGGGCCCAGTACTCACCCTGGTCTTCATCTTTTCCTTCATGAGCGGCCTGCAGAGGTTGAAGAGTGTGTCGAAGGCTTGCGGAGTGTTGATGTAGTGGACACCCTTGGGCCGCAGCGGGTATCCTTCCTGGAGGGACGGGGATTATTGTAAGCATCTGTGTGCCAGGTCTACTATACCCAGCACCTGTGGTAGTCACTACACCCAGCACCTGTGGCACCCAGCACCTGTGGTGGCCACTATACCCAGCACCTGTGGTGGCCACTATACCCAGCACCTGTGGTGGCCACTACACCCAGCACCTGTGGTGGCCACTACACCCAGCACCTGTGGTGGCCACTACACCCAGCACCTGTGGTGGTCACTACACCCAGCACCTGTGGTAGTCACTACACCCAGCACCTGTGGTAGTCACTACACCCAGCACCTGTGGTAGTCACTACACCCAGCACCTGTGGTAGTCACTACACCCAGCACCTGTGGTAGTCACTACACCCAGCACCTGTGGTAGTCACTACACCCAGCACCTGTGGCAGTCACTACACCCAGCACCTGTGGCAGTCACTACACCCAGCACCTGTGGTAGTCACTACACCCAGCACCTGTGGTAGTCACTACACCCAGCACCTGTGGTAGTCACTACACCCAGCACCTGTGGTAGTCACTACACCCAGCACCTGTGGTAGTCACTACACCCAGCACCTGTGGTGGCCACTATACCCAGCACCTTTCCTTAACCCACCACAGGTACTCTTATCTCACCCACCTAAACCTTCCTTACGACCCACCCACATATTCCTCGACCCCACCCAGACTCTCCTTACGACCTACCCAGACCTTCCTTGCGAACCACCCAGACCTTCCTTACGACCCACCCAGACCTTTCTTGCGACCTACCCAGACCTTTCTTGCGACCCACTCACCTGCCACGTCAGCATCACTTTCCTGACGAGCGGAAAGGGAAGCACAGCAAGATGCTTGAAAGTGAGACCGGTCATATCATTAGCTTGGACGATGCCAGTGACTGTCGTCTGCTCATCCTCGAGGAACAACACGTCGAAGAGCATCCCAGCAGCCTTGAATAGGTCTTCTGGCTTCACTTGATTGGGATCCCAAGCTCCGAGTCTGCCGAAGATGACCTTGCGTCCGTGGGGGTCGTAGCCAGGCAGCGGGAACATGAGTCTGTGAAGGAAGGTTAGTGAGGTTATCGAGAAGGTCTAGCAGGCATGGGTCATGTTTATATGGCCCGTATCTCGTTATTGTGGCCTGTGGGTCTTTTGACCTGCATCTGTAGCCTAGCCTCCCTCAAGTAAGTAAGTAATTATCAAAAGAAGGCACCAAACCGGGAAGGCTATGTAGCACCATCAAATGCGCAAAATAATCAGAGGGCGCTAAATATCACCAAGGATGCCAATACGAGAACAAAAACGCATAAGGCGAACGATATCAAAAGTATCCGAGTCACCAAGAATTCTATTGAGGGACAGGTGACCGCGAGGGGCGGTCGGAAAGCAAGACACGCTCGTCCTGGAAGTCAGGACATTCAAGAAGGACGTGCACGACCGTAAGAGGGACAATGCAACTTGGACAATAAGGAGCAGGGCGGCGCTCCATCAAGTGACCATGGGTTAAGCGAGTATGGCCAATACGCAACCTCGCCAGAGCTGATTCCCACCGTCGGTTACGGTGGAAGGAGGACGGCCACGAGGAAACACAACATTTAAGAGTACGTAGTTTGTTACCAGTAACAGACAACCAAGAACCCTGCCAACGGGTAAGGACGGAGGAAAGGATAACCGGGTAAAAGTCGGAATACCTTTACGAGAGATGGGACAAGAGCAGACAGCTTCTTTGGCGGCAGCATCCGCACGCTCATTTAAAGACACACCAATATGGCTGGGAACCCAACAAAACTCAACCGACTTAAATTTACTGTGAACAAGAAACAGCCAATGCTGGATCTCGACAACTACTGGATGAACCGGATTAAAGGACCTGAGAGCCATGAGGGCACTACGAGAGTCAACAACAACTACAAAGGAAGACTGACAACGAGAAAGCAGGAGATGAAGAGCATAGAGAATAGCATAAAGCTCCGCTGTAAAGATGCTAGTCTCCGGAGGGAAGCGACACATATAAGTGCGATCAGGAAAAACAACAGAGTAGCCAACACCGTCCGCAGACTTAGACCCATCGGTGAAGACAGAAACGGAGCGGGAGTGAGAAGAAAAGTGCTCAAGGAAAAGGCGTTTTAGAACCGTAGGAGGGGTAAAAGCTTTAGTGATACGGGTCAAGGATGTACAAAACCGCGGAAGAGGGACTCTCCACGGGGGCAAAGAAGGAACAACACGAGGAGAAACATTAGAAATACGAACGGAAAGAGTCCTGTAGGCGAGATGACCGGACAGAAAGAGGGAGGTGGTGAAGAGGAACAGGAACCGCAGGAGGGGTAAAAGTTAAAGCACGACAGAGGCGAGAGGAAGGATGTTGTAAGGACCGCGCAAGATAGCGAAGACAGTAGCGATCACGGCGGTCTTGGAGAGACAGGAAGCCAGTGTCAACATACAAGCTAAGGACGGGAGTCGAACGAAAGGCACCAGAACTGAGGCGCAACCCAGTATGGTGCAAAGCATCAAGACGGCGAAGAGTAGAAGGAGAAGCAGACGAGTAAACAGGGCAACCATAATCGAGCTTAGACAGGACGAGAGAGGAATGTAAAGCAAGGAGAGTGCGCCTATCTGCCCACCAAGAAGTATGGGACAAGACCCGAAGGAGGGTAAGGGCCTTAGAGCACTCAACACGGAGGTAAGAGATATGGGGAGACCAAGACAAACGAGTGTCAAGGAATAACCCCAAAAGCTTCGCGGAATCTTTGTACTCAAGGGGATGACCATAAAGTGACAAAGAGGGACGAAGAACGACCCGTTTCCGCGTAAGTCATGGCACAAGTCTTAGAAGTAGAGAACTTGAAGCCATGATCGGTGGCCCTAGCCTCCCTCAAGTTATCTCTCTACAACAGTACAAATCTATAAAAAATGTGTTTCTGGGAATATTGCAGTATTTGAATTCTGCTGTAAGGTGTTGATTCCACACGCTGCCACCTGCGTCAAAAACAGGGTTAAGGATCAGAATCTGAGAACTGGCTAACTTCGGGAAGTGCAAAACGCCCTAACTCCCATCCTTAAGTTTATTCATGCATATTCCATGAAATGAGTTGATAAGGAAACAAGAGTGTCTCTATGCTCTTGAGAGCTTGAGAATCCAAGCGACGAGAGTGTCAACAACGACCCTGACCTACCATCCTCGTTCCATCAATATTTTTATTGATTTATTTATATACAAGACTTCTTACATTCTTGTACAGCCACTATCGAGCATAGCGTTTCAGGCAGGTCCTTAATCCTAATTTTCCCCGGAATACGACCCGCCAAATCATTTAACAATCAGGTACCCATTCACTGCTGGGTAAACAGAGGCTACAGTTAAAAATTGGCGCCCAGTAAATGCTTCCCGGCCAGGACACGAACCCAGGCCAAAGCGCTTGTTAAGCTCCGGGCGAGTGTTTTACCACTGCGCCACGGGGACTGATATGCTCTTTTACCATTTCCGTACACATTGTCTATGGAAGTCATTAAGGCCTACATATTAACAATGGCAATGTCAATGGCATTCATCCAACCTATAACAGGTAAGATAAAACTTGATAAGAACATTCTTTGTTCTACTACAAAGCTTAATGGTGGGTTGCCAGGTATTTACAAACAAGAGGGAAGGGATATGTTAACCAAACCACACACTACAAAGTGAAGGAACGACGACGTTTCGGTCCCGACCATTCTCAAGTCGATTGTCAGAATCACAATTGACTTGAGAATGGTCCAGGACGGACCGAAACGTCGTTGTCCCTTCACTTTGTAGTGTGTGGTTTGGTCAACATATTTCAGCCACGTTATTGTGACTCCTCGTCTGCAAGAGGGAAGGGAAGGCGATGAGTCACAATAACGTGGCTAAAGTATGTTGACCAGACCACACACTAGAAGGTGAAGGGACGACGACGACGACGTTTCGGCCCGTCCTGGACCATTCTCAGGTGATTGTCAGAATCACAATCGACTTGAGAATGGTCCAGGACGGACCGAAACGTCGTCTGCCCTTCACCTTCTAGTGTGTGGTCTAGTCAACAGGGAAGGGAACTATCAGGAGAAAGCGGCAAGCCATTACGATTATATTGAAAGCAGTCGGTGTTGTTCGAAAGATGTACATTTCATTCATTTTGCAAACGTTTACACTTATTTTTTTATAATTTTAGTGGTAAATAAACACCCGATTCCACTGGTTGGTTATAAACCAAAATTTCAACATTCATGTTGAAATACACTCATGTTGATACACCCTGATTCCTGTCCCCCGACACAATGAATTATTATCATCATCATTATGTCTGGCAAGATGTCCAAGCTCTCGGGGTTTGGGAAGCCGGTCACGCGCTCTCTACCCGTTATTATGGCACGTCACGCGCTCTCTACCCGTTATTATGGCACGTCACCCGGCTCTACCCGTTATTATGGCACGTCACCCGGCTCTACCCGTTATTATGGCACGTCACCCGGCTCTACCCGTTATTATGGCACGTCACCCGGCTCTACCCGTTATTATGGCACGTCACCCGGCTCTACCCGTTATTATGGCATGTCACCCGGCTCTGCTCTTTCATCAAGTCTGGCGACAGAGATGACTCTGTACGGTTCACCTTAAGGTCTGCTAACCAGTCTGCTCCAGGCTTACACCTGTGTATACGTAGATCTATTTATTTATCTATCTATATCTATCTATCTGGCTATCTGTCTTTCTATCTTTCTGTAAGAGAATGGTCATCTGTCTGTGAGTTCGAGGGTGGAGGCCACAATTGTACGGTTAATCTCAAGCAACTTTCCACGGTGAAGTGTAACTGTATGGCGAGTGTCATAAGGTGGTAGGCTTTGACCACCATGCCCCTCTTCAAGAAGGATTGACTCCTATTGCGACAACCAATGACTCTTGTGAAGCATGACATGTTGATTCAATGATTTTGCCACCCCCCCCCCCCCCCACTCTCTAGGAGAGAGAACAGGTGGGATAAAGGGAGAGAGAACGGCCTAAGACGACAAAAAAAAGACATTCTGAAAGAGAGCGGTTACATCAGGATGGAGATAAGGTATTTTATACCAACTGACTTCATGTTTGGGCATCATGACGTTAGATGGTGATATGATTTACGTGCGAACACAACTCATATCACCATCTGATGTCATATTGCACACACACAGTATATAATGCACTTATTTCTATAGCAAAATTAGATATCTTCTGCATATTTTATTAGACAGACTAAAGAGTTTAGCATTACTTATAAATGACACGAGATGTGCTTCTTTGAGTGATATCTTCAGCATCACAAACAACTATGGCCAATCTAAGACACAACTCAAGCGATTAATAACTGGAATTTCGCAAATTCTCAGCAACGTGTATCTGTCTAACAGAGCAGCAACCCATCCAACTAAAATGAAAGTAATTATAGTAACTATTTAGTCGAAAGTAGCAATATGTAATGACGGACCACCGGAAAGTATTATTGACAAACTAGAAACATTTTATCATAAAAATAAAACCTAGCCATAGCTAACTTAACCTAAACACTCCTACCAATCCTAGGCCTAATTCACGTTATCTGGGGCCTAGTATAGTACATATATGAGCTATACTAAACCTAGTAATATTTAAATTTGGTTTTTAGCTTTATCTTCTGTACTCTATAAAATTTATAATACAAAAATGGTTTACCAGGAGTCCGTTTATTAAATATCTAATAAATATCCAATAAATGTCCAGCGGAGTGCCCAGATATATATATTTAGTGCCCCAGATCTTGGGCACTAAATATATTTCAGAGTGAATATAAATACAAATTCAGAGTTATACACTAAATATAAGTTCAGAGTGCCCAAGATATATATAGTTATTCCTGAGGACCATATAGTTGTGATGAGTACTATCGTGTAGGGGAGAATGGCTTGTAAAGATACTTCATTGAGCATTCAGAAACATTAACGTCTACATCTAATTTTGAAATATTAAATAAACATTATATTCACTCGAGCTTTCACAGTGAGGTATTTCTTTCTCACCCATCCAGACTTATATTTCTCACCCATCCAGACTATTCCTCACCCATCCAGACTATTCCTCACCCTTCCAGACTATTCCTCACCCCATCTTGAGTATGGCTCGCAGTTTAGGGTTGTGTGGGTCCCGGGCCTGGAACATGTCTGGGAGGGCGCCCTTGCAGGTGTAGTACATCTCCAGCTTGGCCTTGGTCCTCTCCAGGGAGAACTTGCAGCCTCTCAGGTATCGAAGGATGGTCGTCCTGTCTGCGGGAGAGGTGGGTCAGTCGGGGCGCCAGGGGGGCAGCACATGCTACAACAGAGTACACCAACATCTTTACCTTTGGTTTACACCAGCATAATTGCTCGCTGGATCGCTTCCCGTGCAGGTCGGAGGCGCTTGGGTACTTTTCCATACACGTTCACGTGGGATTAAATATGTACCAGGGAAATAGGCAAGTGCTGTGGGTTGTATCCTGGAGAAGTGCAATGGTTGGCCTGGCTGGACCTTGACATGCCTATTAAGTTTGCTTTCCCTCAGTGAGAGACGGGAATTATACCAATTGGGTTTACTTGCCAGAAGTTCATTATGGGTAATTACCTGGTAGTTATCAAGCAACATTCTTGGCTCGGACATAATGATAGTTGTGGGAAAAGAGAGAGAGAGAGAGAGAGAGAGAGAGAGACAGAGAGAGAGACAGAGAGAGAGACAGAGAGAGAGACAGAGACAGAGACAGAGACAGAGACAGAGACAGAGAGAGAGAGACAGAGAGACAGAGAGAGAGAGAGAGAGAGAGAGAGAGAGAGAGAGAGAGAGAGAGAGAGAGAGAGAGAGAGAGAGAGAGACAGAGACAGAGACAGAGACAGAGACAGAGACAGAGACAGAGACAGAGACAGAGACAGAGACAGAGAGAGAGAGAGACAGAGACAGAGACAGAGAGAGAGAGACAGACAGACAGACAGACAGAGAATATTTATTATTATTATAACAAATACATAATTATAAAAAAAATGGGCAATGAAGCGAGAAAATAACAGGAATCTTTGCTGGAATGCTGCCATGAATGTTGTTCGCTTCCAAAATGTCTGCTATAAGTATTAACATGGCCTGGAACATATAAAAACACCTGTAAACTTTGCATTCCAACATGGTTGTAAACATGGTGGGAATGACGAATTATGGGAAGGAAAATAAGATAGTGAAAGGAAAATCTACAGAAAGTATAGAAAATGGGAGAAAACCTCGGGAGAAATAGAAATGTGAAGCGAGAGGGGCAGAACTAATATGACGTTTATTCCAACTAACTGTTGAGGATCGTAATATGTCATCCACTTCTTGCCAGCGAGGACTTGACGTCTCTCTGACGAGTGCACCACTATCGTCTTCACCAGACTACCTCACGTCTCTGACGAGTGCACCACTAGTCTCCCTCCAGACTACCTCACGTCACTGACGAGTGCACCACTAGTCTCCCCCCAGACTACCTCACGTCACTGACGAGTGTACCACTAGTCTCCCCCCAGACTACCTCACGTCACTGACGAGTACACCACTAGTCTCCCCCCAGACTACCTCACGTCACTGACGAGTGTACCACTAGACTACCTCCCAAAGCAACACTAAAAATACAAAACACAACAATAATAATTGTGTTTCACTTAGCCCATCCTTCATCCTCGCCTCTCTACCTCTTCCTGCCCCTTCCTAAATCTTTGCCTTCCTCTTTACTCCCCCCACAGTCCTCAAACCCCTTCACCCTTCTCGTCCTGCTTGCTGCAGGACGCCCATCAGGATGGTCAGTAATCCTGGCGACCATTGTGTATAATGTGCCGGGATGTGATGTTGGCAGCTGAATGTCGTCCTGAATGTCTTGGTCGGAGCGTTGTAAAGCTTTGTGTTAGAGACGGACTTTACCAACAGCGGCGGCGTCTCCTGGTGGCTCTGTGCCCTTCTGTGTAACAACCGGGTTTCTCCTCAAAGCATATAGTTACATAGAGCTCTAAATGTTTGCTGGAAGTACTAACATGGCCTTGGGAAATATGAAGACATTTGTAAATGTTGCTTTTCAAGAAGTTTGCAAACATGAGTGGTAAGAGATTAAGAGACCAACCACACACTGGTTAGAATTGCATTTCAACTTTGTAAACGCACATTAATGACACAATGTATAAGATAGCTCGAACACTGTTTAATTAGGATAGACGAAAGTCTGTATAAAAGCGTACGTAGGTTAGATAAACATTTTAAAAGTACTACAATCACCTTTTGTGGTTGATTGTTCGATAAAAATCACTGAACTTTATGTTTAACAGATCTCTCAACCCGTTCATGGAGGACAGGAGATAATGTATATATGCTGATTAGCATTGTTAATGTGTGGACACGTCTGTGGTAGAAAATAATTACAAAAAGACTGTTGTCTGTGACTCCTTGACAGCCACAGATGATGAGTCAGTAGCCTGTGACTCCTCACGCGAGGAGCGGCTTTAAATGTTTTTTTTGAGTCCTTGAGAATCATATATTCCATTCCTTCACCTGTCTCGCATCTTATCACCTTATCAGTCACTAGTCAGGTTATCAGTAGGCCTTGTAATCACTCTAGTGGGTTTATCAGCACTATGGAAGACCTCGTTAGTCACCCGTTTAGTTTCATAATTTATATTTGTGAGACATTTTGAGTAATGTGTTTGCAACACTGACTCATCACCAGAGGTTCCCAGAGGTGCTATATGATGTTATATGGTCCGGTAACGGACCGGAGAGATAAGCTAGGTAGTGGACACGTGCTTACCTAGTTGTGAGTTTTGGTGTGAGGTGTTGAGGTGTGAGTTTTCAGTCGCATATAGTCCTGGGGACCATTCAGGCTTGTTCGCATTTGTGTTCCTCACGTGTGCCCCAAAGAATGAGGTGATTTGATAAAATACTATGCCCAAGATTACCATCCGAGTGCCGGCGGTGGGGTGGTTCAAATAGCTTCGGCTATCACCTCATTTTGTCCGGTCGTGATGGTCGAGTGGATTACGGCGTCCTGTACATACCAGTTGCGTTGCTCCTGGCAGTATGGTTTCGAGTCACTTCTAGGGCGAGAGTTTTCAGTTATATATATGTCAATCATTGTGCAGCGTGTGTACGTTTCATATGTGTGTCGTCATTATATGTGATTTACAGGTTAGATATATGTGAATCACAGGTCGGATATATGTGATTCATAGCTCAGATATAGAGGGTTCACGGGTCAGATATACGTGATTCATAGGTCAAATATAGAGGGTTCGCGGGTCAGATATACGTGATTCATAGGTCAGATATAGAGGGTTCACGGGTCAGATATACGTGATTCATAGGTCAGATATAGAGGGTTCACGGGTCAGATATACGTGATTCATAGGTCAGATATAGAGGGTTCACGGGTCAGATATAGTGGGTTCACATGTCAAATACATGGGAGTCAGTGGTCACATATATGAGTTCACAGGTCAGATATATATTATGTACAAGGCTTTCTGAGCTACACAGCGAGGGAGCTGGAATCGGGAATATTGTTAGCAATATAAGTGATATTATGGCAACACTAGTCATATGGTCACACGAGTGATATTATGGCAATATGACTGACATTATGGCAATATGGTTGATATTATAACATGATTGATATTAAGCCAACACGAGTGATGTTATGGAAGCAAGAGTGAAATTGTGGCAACACAACTGATAGTATGGCAACATGAGTGACATTATGGGAACACGAGTGGCATTATTGCAACACAAGTGATATTATGACAACATGATTGATATTATAGGACCATAACATATAATGGCAACATGACTAATATTATGGCAATATAACAGATATAATGGCAACATGACTAATATTATAGCAACATGACATACTATAGCAACACTATTGATATTATATCAACATATGCAATGTTTTGGCAACATAACTGACATTATGGCAACATAACTGACATTATGGCAACATAACTGATATTAAGGAAACATAACTGACATTATGGCAATATAACTGATATTATGGCAATATGACTGATATTATTGCAATATGACACTATGGCAACATAACTGATAATATAGCAAAATGACATTGTGGCAACTAGAGTGATATTAAGGCTACATGACTGATATTATGGAAATATAACTGATATTATAGCAAAATGACTGATATTATTGCACCATGACATTATGGCGACATAACTCATAATATGGCAACATGATTGATATTGTGGCAACTAGAGTGATATTATGACTGGAAATGGGAGCAAACTCATTATTCGTATTTATTATTTGTATTCGTCAGACGGCAATAATGAAGTTTACAACAGTATTTAAAATAGTAAGAGGCAAGGACGGTATTAAGGTCGTGCGTTGAGTCTCCCACGCTTCATCATGACTGAACAACCCGTCCTCTTAAAAATAACGTCACTTTTGGCTGGTATGCGCGCTATGGCCAAATTTGGACGTAATTTGAAATGAAATCGACTCACAAAAGTGACGATCTGTTCCGTTTTCTATTTGAGTCGTCCGGCGTACGCGCAGAGGTTATAAGAGGACACTTTAAATTAACGTTTTTCATAACGTTTTGAAACTTTATGAGAATTTCCTGCCCACCTAACCTATCAGAGGACCCTTAACATACTGTTGTTGAAAAAAAAGTCCCAAATTTATTCATTTTTTTTCATTTTCAAATTATGCCCAAATTCGGCCATACGGGCAAACGGCCAAAAGCGACGTTCTTTTTAAGAAGACAGGTTGAGACTATCATCATTATCGTCATTACCACCACAATCATCACCACCATTGCCATCACTGACGTCATCATGGTGGATTGTGACATTTTTACCACAGGGAGTGCTGGACTGTGTCACCTTACTACAGGGAGTGCTGGGGGTTGTAGATAGTACAACATATCTACAGTCATATTTCAGTTTAGTATTTATCAGGTCTTTTCTGAATGTAAGCTTATAATAACAAACAAATGCTTTAATCCTTTGTGAGTGATGAAAGGTGACACTGACCTGTCCTGGCGTTGAGGTGAGGGAGATGCTTGAGCCAGGCTCTGATCGCCTGGATATCCTCCTCCCTCCTTTTGGGGTCTTCCCCCAGCTCCTCCTTCGCCAGGCGCTGTATCTCCTCGCTCAGCGTGCACACGTCCTCCTCCGCTCCTGGCATTCTGTGCACATGACACTTCAGGTTTAGTGGGTTTGCCTTGAATGCATCTTGCATTATAGTTTACATGCATCAATGCACACAGGGAAGTCAAACACAACACAACAAGCAGAAGGAGAGTGAACGCAACACAATAAACAGCGGGATACTGAACGCAACAAACAGAAGATGTGTACACGCCATTGGAAGATCGTATGGAGAAGGAAAGCAACACAACCAGCCCAGGTTGAGGGAGACCAACACAACTGACAATGAGAGAAAGCAATACAACCAACACAGGAAGAGATGTATTCTACGTAGATTAGCGGATGGGTTCTTCATTGAAAGACTCCAGACACTGAACGCTGACAAGCAGTTCAGTACTTGGTGTCCCATAGACAGACACCTTGACGTGGTTCAGTAATGTTCGTCCTTCGGATGAAAAGATGGACATCACTTTAATATACCAGGTGGAAGGTGGGTGGCAGCGAGTCAGATGATGGAGGATGAGACCTCTCTGGGTCAGAAGGCTCGCCCACACACGGGACATCTGTGGGTGAGTGCTGCTGCAGAGGTGGAGGTTCCTCTAGCTTTGTGCGCGGTGGGTTTCATCTGGCCCTCTGTAGTCCGTCTGTTTTCTACCGCAAATGGTTCAATACCTGGTGTCCCAACGGCATACTTCATAACCATGGTTCAGTACCTGGTGTCCCAACGGCATACTTCATAACCATGGTTCAGTACCTGGTGTCCCAACGGCATACTTCATAACCATGATTCAGTACCTGGTGTCCCAACGGCATAATCATTGACGTGGCTCAATATTTGTGGTCTCGGTGACATTCCTTAACGTGGTTCACTACCTGGTGTCCCAACAGCATACTTCTTAACTTGGCTAAGTGCCTTGTGTCCCAAGAGCATATATTAGCGTGGGTCACTACCTGGCGCTCAACGACAGACGAATACACTTGGATCACCATCTGGTGTCCCAACGTCATAGTCCTTAACGTGGTTCAATACAATTTCCCAGCTGCAGATTCGAATTCTCATCATGGCTGCTACTGGTTTTATCTTCCATACATTACGGTAAAGTGATTTCTTTATGCATTTGAAGAGAAGCGTTGGAGGTTCTGGAAGCCTCAGAACCCCTAGACTTGGCCTAAAAGTTTCAGATGAATCTCAGGCTGCATTGGTTTTGAGCATGTCGTGGCCGAGTTGTTTAGGGCATATGCCTGAGAGTATCCAGTGTGTAGGTTTGAGTCCTCATCTTGCCTTCTACTGATTTTCTAATTGATACATCAGGTTATTGTGCTGTCTTTGTGAATCAATTTTCACAGTGTTTGTTTGGTCGGAGAGGAGAAGGTTCAAGGTGATAACAAGAACGTGGTAGTAAGGAGAGGCGACAAGTCACCAATATACGTAATCTTAAAAAGAGATGATTACATTGCAAAAAGGAACCTTATTCTCTCCGACCAAACAAAATTCATGAGGGTCACGAGGAATACAACACCCGAATTAAAAACGAAAGTAAACAAACTGATCGAAACTGTCAACGCGAAAAAGTCCGGACTTCACCTATAAAAAATCACTGTAGAACACAAACCCGGCTATGCCTACGGAAGCGTCAAAACCCACAAACCTGGGAACCCATTGAGGCCAATCATCAGCCAGATACCACCGCCCACGTACAAGCTGGCTAAGCGACTCAACTCGCTGTTGGCACCCTACATACCGAGTGCGTTTAGCCTAAGGTCGCCGAAGGATTTAGTTGACCTGTTGAGAGGATCAAGGGCCGCAAGTGTAAGAGCCTCCCTGGACGTGAAGTCACTGTTCACTAATGTGCCCGTGGACCAGATTATTGGAATGATGATGGACAGTGTATCGAGATCCGACTAGCACTCTGGACATACGAAAGAGCATATTAAGAAAACTGCTTGAAGCTTGCACGAAAGAGGAACCCTTCCTTAATCCTGACGGACACATATATAAGCAAGTGGACGGCGTTGCCATGGGTTCCCTTCTGGGTGTCTTGTCCGTGACCTTTTACATGAGCACTATTAAGCAGAGAGTTCTGGTCAGGTTAGACAAAAGACCCGCCATCTACTGCAGGTATGTCGACGACATATTTGTACAAATTTCGGATACCGAACGACTGTTGCAGTTGAAGAAAGCTTTCGAGCAAAACTCGGTTTTAAACTTCACTTTTGAGATGGAGAGTGGGGGGTAAGCTGCCCTTCTTAGATGTAACAGTCATGAAAAGGAACGGCAGCTTTCATCATGCAGTATATACTAAGGAGACAAACACAGGGATGTGCCTTAATGCTGACAGCGACTGCCCGGAGAGATAAAACGGAGTGTTGTGAACGCTTACGTCGACCAAGCTCTCACTCACAGCTCTGGGTGGAAGCAGGTGGATGAGGAATTATGTAGAATAAGGCAGATTTTGGTCAACAATGATTTCTCCAATGGTTATGTCGAAGACATAATAAAAAAGGAAGGTAGCGAGGTGTGCAGCACGCAACGGAACAACTAATACCGCAATACTCATACTTCCAATAAAATTGTTCTACAGAAACTTCTCCACGGCCTACAAAGCAGAGGAAAGAGCCCCACAGACGTTATCCCTACAGACAAAAATCAGAAAGTACAATTGACAATGTACTACAAAAAAAAAAAAATGGCCAACCTACTCATGAAAAACTCCCCAGACACCAAATAGAACGCCTTGAAGGAAGCCAACATTGTCTATGCCTTCATATGAAGGCACTTTAGAACTGTAAGCCCCAAAGAACTCAGTATATAGGCAAGACAACAACGTCTCTTTCTACGTGATTAACAATGCACAAACAACAGGTCTCCATCAAGGAACATATAATCTCTTCTCACAACCAGACCATCACCAGAGAAATCTTAACAAACAACACAGAAATCATCGATACAGCGATAGCAGGAGACTCGACATCAGTGAGGCACTACACATCAAAACGTCAACACCAGCAATCAACAGCCAATTAACGCATAACTATATTCTACCCATTCAAAACCCCGAACCAACATAGGAGCACCAAGAGAAAGTATGGGCCAATAGACCTTCTGCAGTTACTTTCATTCTTATGCCTTTCATACCCAATTAATACCCACCTCACCCAAAACAAATAAAAAGCATGATGTATGTTATGTGTAAACCAAGTCTTTGAAAATGTAAGAAGCCTTACGAAACGCTTCTAAGCATCAGACCAAAATTAAAAATGTAAAAAGTGAATTTTGGCAAGTTAATTTTTCAATTACCCTCGACAGTAAAAAAAGACGTAAGAAATATTGAGAAGATTCGTGTTAGAGTTATTAATCTTACCCTTTCGGTCATATTCAACAACATTATTATTATTATATATATATATATATATATATATATATATATATATATATATATATATATATATATATATATATATATATATATATATGAATGAAAACTCACACCCCAGAAGTGACTCGAACCCATACTCCCAGGAGCAACGCAACTGGTAACTACAGGGCGCCTTAATCCACTTGACCATCCCTGTAGTTACCAGTTGCGTTGCTCCTGGGAGTATGGGTTCGAGTCACTTCTGGGGTGTGAGTTTTCATTCGCATATAGTCCTGGGGACCATTCAGGCTTGTTCGCATTTGTGTTCCTCACGTGTGCCCCAAAGAATGAGGTGATTTGGTGAAATGCTATGCCCAAGATTACCATCCGAGTTGCCGTCGGGGAAGTGGCTCAAATAGCCTTGGCTATCACTTCCTTTTGACGGCCGTGATGGTCAAGTGGATTAAGGCGCCCTGTAGTTACCAGTTGCGTTGCTCCTGGGAGTATGGGTTCAAGTCACTTCTGGGGTGTGAGTTTTCATTCGCATATAGTCCTGGGGACCATTCAGGCTTGTTCGCATTTGTGTTCCTCACGTGTGCCCCAAAGAATGAGGTGATTTGGTGAAATGCTATGCCCAAGATTACCATCCGAGTTGCCGTCGGGGAAGTGGCTCAAATAGCCTTGGCTATCACTTCCTTTTGACGGCCATGATGGTCAAGTGGATTAAGGCGCCCTGTAGTTACCAGTTGCGTTGCTCCTGGGAGTATGGGTTCGAGTCACTTCTGGGGTGTGAGTTTTCATTCGCATATAGTCCTGGGGACCATTCAGGCTTGTTCGCATATATATATATATATATATATATATATATATATATATATATATATATATATATATATATATATATGACAATGTCAGACCACGGAGGAAAAATGAAACAGGAAATTTCGTATATTAAATACATCTTCAGAAGGTCTTCTGAAGATGTATTTAATATACGAAAGTACTTAAGGAAATTTCCTGTTTCATTTTTCCTCCGTGGTCTGACATTGACACATTCTTAATCACGTGTTTATTTTCGTGATATACACACATATATATATATACATATATATATATATATATATATATATGTCGTACCTAGTAGCCAGAACGCACTTCTCAGCCTACTATGCAAGGTCCGATTTGCCTAATAAGCCAAGTTTTCCTGAATTAATATATTTTCTCTAACTTTTTTCTTATGAAATGATAAAGCTACCCATTTCATTATGTATGAAGTCAATTTCATAAGTCATTTCAATTTTGAAGTCATTTCATAAGAAAAAAATTAGAGAAAATATATTAATTCAGGAAAACTTGGCTTATTAGGCAAATCGGGCCTTGAATAGTAGGCCGAGAAGTGCGTTCTGGCTACTAGGTACGACATATATATATATATATATATATGTCGTACCTAATAGCCAGAACGCACTTCTCAGCCTACTATTCAAGGCCCGATTTGCCTAATAAGCCAAGTTTTCATGAATTAATGTTTTTTCGTCTACCTAACCTACCTAACCTAACCTAACCTAGCTTTTTTGGCTACCTAACCTAACCTTACCTATAAATATAGGTTAGGTTAGGTTAGGTAGGGTTGGTTAGGTTCGGTCATATATCTACGTTAATTTTAACTCCAATAAAAAAAATTGACCTCATACATAGAGAAAAGGGTTGCTTTATCATTTCATAAGAAAAAAATTATAATAAATATATTAATTCAGGAAAACTTGGCTTATTAGGCAAATCGGGCTTGAATAGTAGGCTGAGAAGTGAGTTCTGGCTACTAGGTACGACATATATATATATATATATATATATATATATATATATATATATATATATATATATATATATATATATATATATATATATATATATATATATATATATATATATATATATATATATATATATATATATATATATATATATATATATATATATATATATATATATATATATATATATATATATATATATATATATATATATATATATATATATATATATATATATATATATATAATATATATATATATATATATATATAATATATATATATATATATATATATATATATATATATATATATATATATATATATATATATATATATATTATATATATATATATATATTATATATATATATATATATATATATATATATATATATATATATATATATGTCGTACCTAGTAGCCAGAACTCACTTTTCAGCCTACAATGCAAGGCCCGATTTGCCTAATAAGCCAAGTTTTCATGAATTAATATATTTTCTCTAATTTTTTTCTTATGAAATGATAAAGCAACCCATTTCATTATGTAAGAGGTCAATTTTTTTTATTGGAGTTAAAATTAACGTAAATATATGACTGAACCTAACCAACCCTACCTAACCTAACCTAACCTATCTTTATAGGTAAGGTTAGGTTAGGTAGCCGAAAAACTTAGGTTAGGTTAGGTTAGGTAGGTTAGGTAGTCGAAAAGCAATTAATTCATGAAAACTTGGCTTATTAGGCAAATCGGGCCTTGCATAGTCGGCTGAGAAGTGAGTTCTGGCTACTAGGTACGACATATATATATATATATATATATATATATATATATATATATATATATATATATATATATATATATATATATATATATATATATATATATATATATATATATATATATATATATATATATATATATATATAACACAACACGACATTGCTCGCCTCACAGCAGTAGCAGCACCACATGCAGGGGATTTCCTGTTAGCAACCCCAATGTCGGCAACTGGCACGCGTCTCACACCACACGCCCTCCGAATTGCTGTGGCCCTCCGCCTTGCTGCCCCAATCCACACCAGATATAGGTGTATTTGTGGCGAGGTGGTGGCTGACAGGTACGGCCACCATGGCCTACTCTGCCAAAGCACAGGGGGATGGCACTCGAGGCACAGTGAAGTTAACATCATCAAGAGGAGCCTCACCACAGCTGGATGCCCAGCTGAAAGAGAGCCCCGTTACCTAACGCCCCGTAACTCTGATGCTCTTATTGGTCGCCTGGATGGTATCACAGTGAACCCCTGGAAGAATGGCAAGCAGTTGGTATGGGACTACACGTGCGTATCAACCCTGGCTAACACCTACATTAACCTCAGTGTTGCACAACCAGGTGGCGCTGCCACCCACAGGGAAGCAGCCAAATCCCGTAAGTATAGAGAACTGGATCACCACTACAATTTTGTCGCCATTGCTTCCGAGACACTCGGCGCCTGGGGTAAAAGTGCTACCAGTTTTTTGAACGAACTGGGTTCTAGGCTCATTGAAACGACAAGGGACCCAAGAGCTGCAAGCTTTCTTTTCCAGCGCCTCAGTGTGGCGATACAGAGGGGAAATGCGCACTGCATCCAGGGTTCCTGCCCGCCATCTGAGGAGCTGGAGGAACTCGACAACCTATGATAACCATCTTTGTAACCCATATGTAACTTTTTTTGTAACAAAGTTCAAATAAAGTAAATATATATGTATACATACAAAAGAATGGGGGTGGTAGGAGAAGATAATATTAGTGTTCAGTGAGAAACCACAAGGTCTCCTCTGAATACTTTTTATTTTCTTCTCCGAGGCTATGGGTCCCCACATTGGCACCAGAGATGGTACCCTCACCTTATGAAAAAATATATATATATATATATATATATATATATATATATATATATATATATATATATATATATATATATATATATAAAAAGTATTCATCCATGCTATCCATTCAGGGTGAGAATACACATAACCAACCCTTCAGAAGGCACCGTCAGTCTCAAAAGCAGACATGGAACAATAAAATGAACTTGGCTACATACTTCTCTGCGGTGTTTGGTAGTTGTGATACACACACTGCTTGTTCAGGCAGGCAACTGATGTTTGGGGCGGGCAGGGCAGCCACACGGGCTATCTCGAGATGATTGGAAGGCTTATCACCATATCTCTGATAAGTGTCTATCACCAATAATGTAACCCAAGTACAGTGCTAATGCAAGTTGTTGTTTCGCTAGAGGATTGCAAGGGTGATTATTAATATTAATTATTCATGTATGTGGATTATGAAACAACTTTGCTTTGCGCTTTGAAAACAACGTCCATCAAGGTCAGGCAATGAACAAGTTGACAGCTGATATACTACGCTAAAAATATCCGAGATTGTGTTTGTGTCCTTGAGGTAAAGCCTTCTTGTTATCTTCGTGGGTTACCTTCACCAGCTACATATACCAGGCCCGTTAAACGGCTACTACCTCACCGACCTCCTCCTCAACCTCTTCCCTTCCCTCCCTCTCACTTAGCACTCGTTAACGTCTTCGTTGAATCACTGTGTACTCATCAAAATTAAGGACCAATAAGCTATCACGGATCAGCTGTAAAAAACTCAATATTGTTCATAAACGCCAAGCATATATCTCTCATCCCAAGTATCTATTGTTGTGAGATTCCCAGAGGATTGGCTACCATTCTTCTTGTTTACTGCTAACGTTTACACCCGTTCTTCTCTTTATTTAACATCTTTTAGTGTTTATTATCAGTGGTTATCTATGCGTTGGGACCTTCCTTAATACGTGTTTTCATATTATTACTAGGAAACTCTTTAAGAGATGACGGTTTCTTGACACAATAAGAGAGGAGTGGAGGAGTGAGAGAGGAGTGGAGGAGTGAGAGAAGAGTGGAGGAGCATGAGAACAAGGACACTGGCAGGTGACAGTCACTGTGACGAGACTGACGGTGGCAGTGATGGGGAAGAGGTGGTGGGGGGTGATGATATAGGTAATGCAGAGAATAATGAGGGCGTCGATAAAGGTACAGTTAGTGGGTGAGAGTACCACGGTAGTACAGGTAGAGGGTAAGAGTACCACAGTAGTACAGATAGTGGGGGAGGGTACCATGGTAGTACAGGTAGAGGGTCAGAGTACCACAGTTGTACAGATAGTGGGGGAGGGTACCATGGTAGTACAGTTAGTGGGTGAGAGTACCACGGTAGTACAGGTAGTGGGGGAGGGTACCATGATAATACAGGTAGAGGGTAAGAGTACCACAGTAGTACAGGTAGAGGGTAAGAGTACCACGGTAGTACAGGTAGTGGGTAAGAGTACCACGGTAGTACAGGTAGTGGGTGAGAGTACCATGTATCACGTTGAGGGGTGATAATTAACAAAAACACCAGCAGACCAGCCTGTACTCTTAAAAGAACGTCGCATTTCGCTCGTTATGCGTTACATAAGGCCAAAAATTGTCGTAGTAGAAAATGAAAGCGGCTGGTGAGAGTGACATACTGTCTCCTTTACTGTTCTGTGTCCTCAGGTAGGTTAGGAGAGGACATCTTAATATGACCGTTTTCTTGACGTTGGGAAACCTTAAGAGGACGGGCTGAGCAGGCGCCACCACTGAGGCTATCATCGCTGGCACCAGAACTATGCCAGTGACCTCCGTAAGGAAACACCCGGACGTGTATTTAATTCTGGGGAAGAGGGAGGGTTCACGTCACTAAGGTGGGGACTCGAGGCACAGCTACATACATACTGTCATGACAAAACCCAAGGTGCAAGAAGATTACAAATTCTTGAAGGAATTCACATAAGAATAGAACAACCTACCATGAACACCCAAATCACGGAACTATTTACTCTACCCACCATGAGAGTAAGGACAAGACCAGAACATAACGATGCCAACACAGAAAACACTGTTCAACATAACAGGCCAATTACACCTGATTAATCTTTGTATGTAGATAGGAGCTGCCTCGTATGGGCCAATGGGCCTTTCGCAGTTACCTTTATTCTTATGTTCTTATGTGCTTCATCCCCCATGTTTTTATCTTTATTGTCTTATCACCTGACCCAGTGCGGGTATAAATCAACCAGTTCTGAAAATTCTTTTCACTTGAGAATGAACCATGGAGGTTCGAAACGTTGTGCAAATTGTATAAATAAGTAATACATTCTATAGTAATTCACTTTTTTCTTCACCTTAAAATTACGAAAATGAGTTTCTACGAAATGTATTTGCTGTCAGGGTGAGAGCACCCTGACAGCACAGGTAGTGGGGTAAGAGAGGACCCCGACAGCACAGGTAGTGGGGTGAGAGAGCACCCTGACAGCACAGGTAGTGGGTGGGTGGTATCAGTCATAAATACCAGTCTTGTGCAACCTCACCAACCCATTGAACCTTCTTGCAAATAAAAATAATAATTATTATTATTATTATTAACCTATGGAAACGCATATCCGCGGAAGCCGTAAATACCAAAACTCTGTTAACTTTTAAATTACAGCTGGAAAAGATCATGAAGGCAAATGGGTAGCTCTTCGACAAGTCACCGGCTTCCTGTCCTCGTCGAGGCCACTAGTGCTAGTGGCCCTCTGGTAAACTCTGGTAAACATCCTTCACAGTCCCCCCTCCTGCACCTCCAGACAGCGCCTGTCCAATCATCAGAGAAAACGCACAATCCACCCCTCCCCCCATCCAAACAACAAACCCCACACTAAGCAAAACTCAGCAATCAGTCCGCACTGCACCAATCGCCTACGTCTCTCAAATCACGAAAACCACACAAAACATCCTCACAGAAACTGCCATCCAAACTCAGCCTGTCCTCTAAACAAAGGCCTAAAGTCCATTCCATGCACCTGCCAAACCCCCTGTTTATGAATGAAAAACGGTTTACACACGTCTCAAAACTGATTTCTTACGAACACTTCTGGAACAAGTGCTTCACTGACGAATTTTGTTCGAACCACAACTCTATAAATGCTTCACCCACGTACTACAAATACAAATAATCGCCAACAGAACCTAAACACCTAACCTAACCCATGCTTATATATTTTTTTGCACAATATGCTATTATAATATTAATTTATATATGAGAAAATTCCCGTTTTGAATGAGCAGCATGTACAAATTTATGAATACGTCTGTGGGGTCGACCGCTGAATGTAAAGGACTTGAGTCGAGGACAGGATGTCTAAATGCTTCGCCCACGTACTACAAATACAAATAATTGGCAACAGAACTTAAACCCCTAACCTAACCTAAACAGTGTCTAAATATGCATAGGATGCTAATGTAAAGCCATATTAATTTATATTTGAAAAAAATCCTATTTTGAATAAATAGCATGTTAAAATAATGAATACATCTTTGGGGTCGACCGCTAGATGGAATAGACTTGGTCTGAGGACGGGTTGCCAAACTATGCCCCCCCCCCCCCACCTCTGGCACCAGCCACTCATACTGCTACTACTTTCCTACCAACCACATATATTTATTTCTTTGTTTATTTTATTTATTTACTTATTTATTTATTTATATATATATTTATGTATTTATATACAAGAAGGTACATTGGGTTTACGAGAGAACTTAATATTGATGTTTTTACATTCTTGTAAAGCCACTAACACGCATAGCGTTTCAGGCAAGTCCTTGATCTAACAGATAATTTTAAGTAGTTAATTTCTAGCAAAATTTAGAAATGTTAACAGGTACATTGTAAGAAAATTTGACGAAGATTAGTAGATACATTATAATAAAAATTTTAGGATTATCAACAGGCACATTGTTAATTTCTATTTAATTTGAGTTAAAACTAATGTAGATATATGACCGAACCTAACCAACCTTACTTAACCTAACCAACCCTACTTAACCTAACCTATCTTAACCTAACCTAAACTAAAATAACTAATTCAATAATTTTTCTTAATATGATAAAATAATAATATTTCAAATAAACCAATTAGAAAAAAATATTTTGAAAATAAAGAAAATCACCCGGCCTATTGTGCAAATCGGGCCTTGCATAGAAGACCGAGAAGTGCGTTCTGGCTACTGGGTCGTGCGTTTATAAGAAAGACTGCTACCAAAATATACTAATATTAAAACGCACGACCCAGCAGCAAGAAACCAAGCCTTCACGATAATATATCGCCAAGATCTGATTCGAAATCAGATACACAAGACAGAAAATGAAATTAACGATAGAAAACGCAACTACTTCATGCTACAGACCAATGGAGAAACACCAACATCGACGAAGACCTCCGTACTCGAATCGACCAACACCTCGACATCCTTACTGATCGACATCGCCACAGCACCGAAACCAGGATCATCAAGAAACTGACAGCATTATTTGGAGGACCTATGGCGATTCCACGACCCAGAGATGGCTTCTTAAACCTTGCTGGAATCACCCTCACTGAGGACCAAATCACTCTCTTAAATCTGGGTATAAACTGTCACGTTATGTCCAGACCAAATGAGATGGCCCGGAAAGTGGAGTTGGAGATCCTATTGGATGACATATTCGACCTTGAGACGCAAAAGAAGGTTAACACTAAAGACACCTTGCAAGCAGAACTTATTGCAGACAGAGGAAAGATTCGAGGCAACTACAGAAGCACCATACTGTCCCCTGAGTTCAAAGCGGCAGCTAAGAGCCTTCGTGAGAATAAGGAGATAGTCGTCAGGAGAGATGACAAGTCGCCAATATACGTTATTCTTAAAAAAAGACGAATATCTGGCAAAAATGAACCTTGTCCTCCCCGACCAAACAAAATTCCAAAGGGTCACGAGGCATACTACAACCCAATTGAAAACCAAGGTAAACAGATTGATTAAAACTGTGAACACCAAGAAATCTGGATTACATCTGTCAAAGGTTACTGGGGAATAAAAGCCTGGTTATGCATATGGGAATGTCAAGACCCACAAACCCGGAAATCCACTTCGGCCAATCATCAGCCAGATACCCACACCCACATACAGACTGGCTAAGCGACTCAACTGCCTGCTGACTCCATATGTGCCTTGTGCTTTCAGCCTGAAGTCTCCAAAGGAAATTGTTGACTTGTTGCAGGGAGCACAGGCCACGGGGATGAGAGCCTCTCTGGATGTGGAGTCGCTGTTTACCAACGTGCCAGTGGGCGAAACAATCGGGATG